TCGCCGTTGCGGTGCCGGGAACGGGGGGGACGAAATATACGCATCGGATGCGTCTGCGCTCATGCGCGCACGCAGTGCTCCGGTGCGCCTCGTTCGAAGCGCACACCGGGTATTTACGGTCCTCAGTCGCCGGGCCGGTAGGTTGTCGAGCTGGTGGCAGTCGCACGTGGTGGCTGTCGGCGAGGGTGCTGGGCGGAAGGGAAATTGGACTGCGAGACGCGACGACGAGATCAAGCTGGCGAGGGAGAGAATTGGCAGTCTCGAAGGATTCGCGATGCCGATTGACGCGTCGTTATCCCGGACCACGAGCGTTTCACCCCTTGAGAGGGATTCGCTGTAGCGTGAGTAATCGCATATTTTACATCTTTCCCGATGGGGTTCCATTCTGCATGACGACTGTGAAAATAATGCGCGAAGATAATATTTGCAATGTTACTTAAAATCGAAAAAGATCCCTTTAATTGTCGCTACGTCGAATAAATTAAGATAAGAAGCTTAATCGCAGCATTTCTAACCGATTGCGATTCAATTTAATCTTTTTCTATCGTAGAAATGTATTTTTGTAATTATTGGCTCAGTGAAAGAATCACAAATAATATCAATAGTCTAATTTTCGAATAAAAAGATATTTTTAAGTAAGATTTACGGATTTAAAACACAGTATACATAAGAGTTCGATGGGTCGATCTTTCGATTTAAGGGTTAAACATTCCTGATCTGACTCGTTTTACCCCATGCGTGTCCGTGCCAGCGTCGTGCGGCTGTCAGAGTTGGTTCACGAGCGCGGTAGTAGGGGCAGAGATCTGCCGATAATATCTCCCTCTCCGTTTCTTTCGTTCGCGACTTCACTTTCTTAGCCGGCATCGAAGGGCTGCAGTAGTGATCTGATGATCGGCGTGCGCGGATCGCTGTTGGTTGCAATATAAAGTGGCCGATTATCAAGTGTGTGAAAAAGAGAGAGATCGGAGTTTTGGAGCGGTGAATTCGCGAATCGAGGGAATTCGTGTAAGCAAGCAGCGTCGGCAAGCAATGTTCGTCACGAGCGTTTGTCAGGTAAGCGCTCAATAATTTTCGCAGTCGTGAAATTTTGATACTGCTATTTGCAACGCTCGACGATAATCCGTTTTTTATATTTGACAATCTTGCGCAAACTTTCTGCACGAGATATTATAAGAGAATAATTACACGTAGATAACAATAACGCTTTAAAAACGCTAATTATTATAAGTAATATATCGTGAATAGGATGAAAGATTTCTACTAACATTTTACAGAATAGATAGAAGAATACAGATCTTTAATTTTATAGTTTACATGCAGATTTTAATCGAAAGTATGCCAGTAAATATTAATAAAAATGTAAGTACCAAGCATATCCATTTTTGAATGAAAATTTATTGCTTGTTAATTTAGATAGATTAGGTTAGGTTAGGTTAGGTTAGAGTAAATCTTGCATATATTACGTGTTATTACAAGTACGCTTTGACACGTGTATTACGCGTGTCTGTTATTGAGAAATAGTATATCACTGTGACTTCAATTCTAAAATAATTATTGGTAATACGTTTCTATTATTATGTCAACAGAATATTATATTTATCAATAATTTGAATTAGTTATTCTAAATCCGTATTATTCTATGTATATACTGGTTTCGCGACCGAATCAATATCTGTGTCTGCAGGTTGTGCGGAAAATGAAGCATCTTTCAATTATACAAGAATAATCTATAAATCGATGGTCAAAGAGGTTTCATAATAAATTTTAATTATCGTCTTTACTGATATCGTCTTGTTCAATTAATTGATTTCTAAATATAAATGTAAATGCGATATAATTTGTATCAAAAGAGCTATATTAATATTTACGATGTATAATTTGATGCACGAAGCTGTGATATGTATTTCTAATAATATTTGTAACTAATATTTATAATGTTTTATATAAGCAACATCTTTCATCATCATATATATGTTATTTTGAAAATGAATTCAACCGCGAGAGAGCTACAATCTGTTTGTTCATGACCTTATCAACTGTTTGAGAAAGCGGGAGATGATACGCTTTATTAACGTTTAACGAGTGTGTGTCTTATTCGTGCGTACGTATACTTCTTCTGGAGAGTTAATTACTACAAATATGACATTCATTATTCTTCGTTGTCAGTTTCATCACTCCAATAATAGAATAGAGGACAACGTTCTGTGACTATTATTATTCGAAATGCATAGATGAAAAACATGCAAGTTCTGCTGAGACATTATACACTTTCTCTTGATTGTAGAATTATTTTCTGTCACAATTTTTTTATGAATAGGTCATGGTTATTTATTGCGATTTCTTAATCACCAACGTAAGAATCTTGGCAATTAAGCCTTACATGAAATTTTTATCCTTAAAGTAAAAGTCATTTAAAACTAATTAATTGAGATTTTTTATTTTTATTTTCTAAACCTACTGGTTAAAATTAAAAAATTTTTATCGCTTTAATATTAAAACAACAATTATTTTTTAATATGATTATTATAAATGAGAAAGAGTGCGCGATTTTTGGATACTTTTAAAATTCTCGTTAATTAGTCCTCGTGATTGCGATAAAAGTTTAATTCAGCCTCTCTTTTTTCTCACGGTACTCTGACGATCGACTGTCGGGTTCTCTCGCACAACAAAGCTTAAATGACATATCTCGGTGTGCGCGCACTGCGACATGGAGTCATTAAAGAATTTCTAAGGCGTCGGGCAACGGCCGGGCCCCACGAAGCTCATTATCCGCACAAGCGAGAGCATATCTGTTATTGTACCTCGTATGTACCTATGTTGCAACTCTTTTGCTCTGATAAAACTTGCCTTTAAAGTGCGCGAATTTATTCTGAACAAATTAGATATCTAAAAGCGACGCTAACGAACGTTTTGATGACTGATATCACCAGCAATTTAGACAATTAACGAAAGTTCGATAAATTAGAAAGTTAACTATTTAAAAATTTAGATTAGTCTTGAAATTGGGACATGATAGATTTTATCTTCGCCACACAGTACACTTATTTATATCCCTAAAACTCGACTCGTGGAAAAAACTGCCGATATTTTATAAGCGAAGAAGGAAGTTGCGGGTCTCTTTATTTGCGAACTTCTTGCTACCGCGAATCCGTTGAAAAGCATTAAGCACGGTCATTATCTCTCGTAACAGCTGGTAATAATGTTACAAAGTGCGAAGACTGATGGTATCAATGTGACGGCGATAATACCGAAGGCGCGAATCGTGCTAGACGCGCGCGTTCATCCGCGTGTACAATTTAAAAATCATTTCCCGTAAGAGATGCATCATATGGACGCGCTAACGCGCATCAGCAGTTTTACTAACTCCGTATTGCGCACGATGCATTTATTGAATTACATTGTACCGCTATAGATCGCTGCGACCTATATTTAAAAAGATGTTTCACTCTTCTTAAAAATATAAAATCAATTTTCCGCAACGTAATTTTTACGCACGTTAGAAATGCAGTTACGGAGCGAGGTATTCTAAACTGTGTGTAGTGCTTCAGATTAGCCTTTACGGCTTCGGCATTACAGATGCTTACGATAGCTCAGCAGTACATAAGTATTGATATCTTGATTTCGATGAATGCGAGCTCTTTATTGCTTTATTAGTCATCAGGCGATTTATGCCGAGATCGATAAATGCAAAGGCGCTATCGCTATCAGAATATACATCGCGATGAAAATAACTGGAACGATGATAAGATCGGGTGCAATTCATGAAGATTTGCGTTTGTCGCGTTATCGCGATCGTCGTCGTCGCCTGCGCGCAACGCGAGGGGACTGTAGAAAAACAAGAGCGCGCCTCTCTTCTCCGGTGCTTTCTCTCGCCGGAAACGCGAGGCGCCGATTTCCCGTTATCACGACGACGTATGTTAATTCGCGGACTTTCGCGTCCACGGCGGAACACGTCGAATTTCGCATTCCATCTCGCGCGGGCCGGCGCGAAGAGAACTCCCGGTGCATCGCACTGCGCACCGCACGCGTTTTTCTACCGGCGCGCGATTTCGTTGCCTGGAACGTCATGCGTTGCGACGGTACGTATGTACAAACACTCCTACGCGCGATGGTCACGCTCCAAAACGATCACTTATTACCTCAATCTTATTACCGCTAACGGCGCATTACCGCGCCTCGAGAAACGTTTCTTTTAATCTCCACGTATCGCCGCTCTCGGAACACACGTCGAAAGGGATCACCGAGCCCTCTTCTCCGCCGCTAAAAATACGCGCTTCCGAGAGGCGAACTTCGCGTTTTTTATTCGCGAGACCGCGCTTGCAAAAGCGCAAAACAACCGCGACTTTGTTAGCGCAATAATCGGAGCGTAAAACATCTTGTCGCTGCCTAGCCGCCTCGCTCGATGACATTCAGTTCGCTCCGATGTGTGTAAGTTGTAATTAAACAAATAATTGCCAAGTGAGCAGTCTGCAGTGTTGCCGGCAGGTGTCACGAAACTTATATACGATGGCACACATTTCATCTGCAAAATATTATTTTACACCGGACATATTTTAGCTCTCAGCGATGCCTGTCGTAATGAAAAGCAACGAATCTCTATTTCGCAGATCCGTACGAACATCCGTTATAATCGTCACGTCAGGCGTTGAGGTGCGTGTAGAAAAAAAAATGCTTCATTAATCTTTCTTCGGAACAAAAAAATCCCTATAACCGTACGATGACACGTCATCATCCGTTAAGTACCGTGTGCGTGAAGATATACAGGCGTGATTGTGATCAAAGCCGGCGAAAGTCAGTGCCACGGTTGTATGAATCGTACTCTCTTATCGATCAACTTCCTCGTCTTTTTCGTTCCGAAGACGAAGCTTCGGCGACACGCACCGGATTTTACCCCGTCCTTGCTTTCCCGCATCGGGGAAATCTGCTGTCCAGGCATTCTCTAATTGACTTTGTAGGGCATACGGATGAAACTCAACTCGTGACAGTGCATTTAATGCGTTGGACAAACCAGCCATAGACGTATGCTCTCCGAGAACGGTAATTGGGCGAGCACGCTCTGTTTGTGCTGTTTAATTAGCTCGCGATGCACTGCCGACTATATTTTTTTATACATTTCTTTTATCTCTATCCCGATTGCTGTCGAAACGAAAAGTTGGCCATTTTTGAGCGACTATATTGATTTATTTCATAATGTAATAATAGTCGTCGGTTTTCCCCGTAAATTATTTACTAATGGATCCATATCGATATTTGGAAAGCACATTAAATATTTATATCTTAAATGTTTCTCTAGAAAGTCGTTATTGTAAAATTTTACAATATAGTTGTGAAAGTTCATAAAAGTGTCATAGCTACAGAGACAATCGCTTCATTTCAATCTGATAAATCTATAAATGACAAAAATTTTTTTAATAACTGTAGATAGATCTATAATACTCTATGTCGTCCTTAATTTTAAAATAGAATTATTAAAATTATATTATAGTAGAATTATTAAAATTATTGAATCCTTAAGATATAGAACGTGCATACGTATATTTAAAAGTCCGAAAAAAAGTTTGCCACGTGTTTCGACGTGGTCCAATTCGCCCACCGTGCCGTTCATTATGTTAATTTTTGAAGCATTTAATTCGAATATAATGAGTTATTTATATTATACCAAAAATTTACACTAAACGGTATTTTATTCTCTTTAATTAAAAGAGAAAAAATGTGCAAATAATGCACAATAATTTTTGCGAAAAATATGTTTATATTTAGCCTTACATATGTAGCTGTTGAAAATTTTTGTAATTCTGACTGATGCGCGATGATATCGCTTTTTCTCTGATGCGGGTGACCGCGACTTTATCGGCTCCTTTTAAGGAACATTTTATGGCAGTACGTTCTCGCGTAACGACCACCTACGTGCAACGTTGAGACATGTGCAAAAAGTAAAACGACTAGAGAAACGCACTGGAGCTGACCCAGCAAATATTTCTCTTTCTGTGTAAACTTTTGCATATAAGCGTAAATCATGCCGGAATTGTAACTCATTAACGTGAAAATATATCATTTAAAATTATAGTAATATATTTTAAAAAAATGAGAAATTGAATTTCACCACAATTAGAGAAAATGTTTAAATAATATCTACTGCAGATGCTTGAAAAAGTGAATCGTTAATCTAAAATGTAAATGAGACGTTAGAGAAGTCCGATTAAGATCGACCATTAAAGGCCCACGAACAGGCGGATGTAATATTTATGTACTTGTGACGCGCGGCAAACATGTCACGGCGGATAACTGTTCGCCATAGATTTATTATGTGTTCGCAATTGTCCATAAGATCTCGAGGGCCATCGTCGAGCGATTGTCACGCGACGTCAGTGTGTTACACGTGTCTCCTCGTAATGAGCGGACACCCACGCGCTCGCGTTACGAGCCGGACGCGCGATGATGAACGCCCAGCTTTTGCCACATGGTTAATCCCGCGATTGCACGCACGTATGTGTACGCATTCTCTAATGGCGATCCAATTCGCCGCTCATCCTCCGATTAAGCTCGATTGTTGGACGGTCGTTGACTTCGGACACGGGCTTTAACGCATAATGCACTTCGATTTTTCCAATCGGTTAATGGAGCGTGCCGTGTTTATCGTTTTATTAACTTCCTTCCGCGACTTAATCCACGTATTTGGTTGCTTTTGGGCATGATACATTCATGTAACGTGTGTAGCCATTGAAAAATTACATCCGCCGATTCGCTAGAACTTTTTCTTCAATGAAAATCAATAGAAAACACGCAGGCGGCTAGACGTGTTACTTTAGCGTGGCGCAGACAATGTTGTTTTCGCGCAAGTAAGAATTTTATACGCTATTATATCACCGCGTTGCAGCAAGGCATGTCTGGCACGTAACCGGTGAAACTTTAAAATGCTAACGAAGATATATAATTCTCACGCTTCGCAACATTATTCGCATTACGCATCAATTAAAATGATCCCATTGATCGTAAAGCCTTGTTGTGATTTTTACATCGCGTTATTTCTTATTAGAATAAATTTTACAAAATGCATTTTATTTATTGCATCGCGATTATTCGCATTTCAATGAGAAACAGTATCAACAGCTGTCGACAGAAATTGACATGGTAATTTTTCAATGTAGGCGTGAAGTAACGCTACGCCTATAATAACTGTGTAATTACTTCTAGCTGCTGGATATCGAAGGAGCAGCGCAACTGTGTCTACAAATTATGCAGAGGTCAAAAACGTATAAAGTGATGAAGTTATGTCATCCCGTAGGCGAGCATTACGTATCCCGCGAAAAATAAAAAGCTTGATTAATGATACGCGCGTATCAGTCTTTATTGCAATTTTTTCAAGCGATGAGACAACCCGATCGATTATTTTTACCGCACAAATAGATCATTATGTTCTGTCTGCGATGTTATATTTCTCATAATAACAAAATAGCACACTTAATCATACGTTTCAAACTTATTTATCGTTTTGACGATTTGTGTATTAATTAATACATCACCGCGATATTTTACGAGTCGAGTCATTTGCCGTTTACTCGTACGTCAACAGTTAAAATAACCGTGAATGATGTCTTTGAGAGTGTCAATGAAGCCGGGAAGTGGAACGTTTTATATCATTCGATAGAGCGTACAATCCGAAATGCGTGTGTCTATCGCACGGTTAAAGACGCGCGTCCAGGAAGACAAACTCCTCCAAATTTGGCAGCGGGCTCCCTATATAGAAACACAAATCTTTAGTCAAGGATAACCGTGCGCTGGTGTTTCCTTGCTGGCCGACGCTTATAAGCAGCGTTCAACTTAAGAAACTCGGGATGCTCAGCGTCTGTAACGTATACCGCTACGCGTGGTCTCTCCTTCGAGCGGTTCACATTGTGCGCCGTATATAGGGATCTTATACGCGATGTTCTCTCGCGTTCGTTTATTTGTGCACGATTACATAAATCCGATTGTTACGGTGGAACCGAGCCGGTTCGAACGGCGCTGATGAAGACTTTAGGGCGAGACGCTAAGTGAATTCGTAAAGATTCTCGCACTCTCCTTTCGAAAGCGGATGTAATTGTATGTGTGTATGTGTTGTGTGCTTACAGTAAAGTCTGCGATGCGACTACTTGGGAAATACCGTGCGCACCTTCGACGTGATTTACGACATTCTTCATTTATGCCGATCAATGTCGACAGAGTCCATTGAAACCATTGCTACGTTTTCTCTTTTCTACATTACCATTGTCACTTACACAGGAGCAATAATATTTATCCTATAAGCTTTCCCCTCAAACGTGGAAAGATGCAATAAACGTATGTAACGCAGCGATTTTGGTGTATTAGAATTTTTTTTAGCATCGAACGAATAAATATCTAATATAAGAAAATTAATTAAAGTGATATATAGTTTGAAATTGTTCACAGCAACGGTGCTGCTTGATGTAACGTTATTGGAAATGCTATTAATCGTAGGAATTGACTCATCGACCGATCAGCGAGTCCGCGCAATTTATGAGGATGTCTACCGTAACGTATGTGAGAAGATATTTCGCGCCCACGTGCATATATGCTGACTGTAAGCATTAAGCGCAGTGACAATTTCATCTGTCGATCGAACGTCGTCGAGTTTCACCGCGAACTTGTCGCTCGCCATCATTCGTCTGGTTAGAAATTTCGATAAGAAAGCCGTCTCTCCTCGAGCTGTTCTTAATATGCATGAATCTGAGAAACGCGCGTACGTGTATTTGACGCGGTAATATATTACGTTACGGTAATAGAAATGATTGCACGGGGATATCGATGTATCGATTGTCGAAGGACGCTCGTAGGTTTGTCCATGAACATCACATTGGGCGGTGATTTGTTTCCTCGGTCCAGAAGTGCTGATACGTAGTGCTTACATCAGCATTTCGCCATTGGTGGCGTGATCGGTAATTACGATCGATCCCCTCGTCTTTGTAGTTCGAAATATACGAGAACTTAAATTTAGATTTAAATCTTGATACATATTAATCTTAATATGTTATATAATTTTAACGCAAAAACACATTCGTGCACACGCGTAATTGGACGCATTACCGTATCGCAACAAAAGAAATGCTTCTTCTCGCCGCAAGAAGATGGAGAGGCACCTAATTAATTATTGGTGCGTGAGTGTTAATCATTTCTCAACGCGATATGTTTCCCCGCGGAACCAGAAAACAACGTTAACCCCATTTAAAAGATGCTGAGTGGTAATGCTTCGTAAAATCCACAATGATATCCATCTCATCGTCGGTTCTTTGTGAGCCGGTGGACGACTCGTGCTCGATACTCGCTCTTCAGATTTCTTTGTTCTTTAATTATCCGACCTTTTGTATTTTATTACGGCTCCCTCGTAGCATTGACGCACGCGATAATATCAACGAGCATAGGCATAATTGCAGCAAGCACTTGCTCGCATACATAAACGTATTTCCGCGCGTGAAAAGAGTATAATTTTGAACTGCAATAATTTTTCTAACTTAACTTTCTTATTTTTTTAAATTTCTTTAATTCCATTTTCAATCGTCTGATTGCATACGACGTAGCCACACGAACACTATGTGTATTTTATCTTTAAGTTTTTATCCTGAAGTGAAATTTATATAGTTGTAAGGATACCTAACAGGTAAAATTCTTAGGAAAGGTCTTGCTCGACGGGAACAAAACTATTCCATTTCGTTACGGCTTCCCAGAGAAAAACGTAGAGCATTCCCGTGCGCACAGGTGCGCACTCGTGTTCGTTGTCTTCTTGAGTATCTTTTCTCCTTTTTGTTCCGAGAATAGTTTCGTGTCGCATCTTATCAGCGTGCTTTTGCTTTCAGTTAGCTTACTCGGACACTAGTCTAATTTTCGAAAGTGACTCCGCCGCGCGATAACGACAGTCCCTTTCTGCTTTTCAGGCGCCACTTGATCGCGAGACGTACGTCCCTGCACGACGTCGTTCTTGAATAGTCTGGGAACTGTCGAAGAAAGTGAAGTGGGTCCTGGAAGAGGACCCGGGGAGTGCGAGGGGAGAAGCGTCGAGAGAGGACCGGGTGTGCAACGCCGGGAGCCTCCGCAGAGCCGGCCCAAGAATGTCGTACGCAAACCGATTCCCGTCCTCCCAGCACACCCGTTATCGCAGTAGCTGGGGACCGACCTCGGTTTCTGTCTTCAATCGCGCTGACGTGCCGCGACCCTCGCCGGAAGAGGAAGAGTTCGCCGAGTTCTATCACGAGCGTCTGCACTCGGCGCAGAGTCGCCAGCTGATTCCACTTCAGGAAGACTTGGCGGATTGGATCAACAAGACGATAAGTAAGTACATTGCAGTCATTATAGATAGAGTATTTCTACGGGATGAGTATCGATTCGGAAAAAAAAAGAAAAAAAACTTTTACTTGATGAACGAGTTCGTGACACCGTCAAGGTCGATGAATACTGAACGTTTCGTGAGAAATTTCGATAACCGTTAGATATTAGTCTCGCTAATTTACGAGCGAAGTCGATAGCTCGTGCGAATCTATAGTCTGCGCGAATTCGCAAGCCACAGTCAGTATGACTCAGAGGCGTGTTCTGCACCGGGCTATTCAATAGAATGCGAGATTAAAGCTCTCTGCCGAATTGCTTTCAAATTAATGGTTTTGTATAAGTAATTTTGTCGTCCGGATGCTCGCGTCACGCGAATTTTACCGTAGCAGTGTATTGCGTGCCTTCGAAATTTTATTTCCACACGACGTTGTCAAGAGCTCAACTTTCGTAATAAACACTATTTGAAACCGTCAAGTGTAATTTTTGATGTTGATTGACTTGGTGTGATTTAACATTGACGTCATCAAAATGCATCACTCCAAAATTGTGCACTTAAAGAGTCAATTATTCAGTGTATATCGTCTATTATTTTTTTTTCTTTATTTCTTACATAACTAATTTTAACTAATAAGTTAAATTTATAATAAAATTTATTCAACTGAGCATTCTAAAAAATTAAATAAGTATAATTATTACGTAACGTAAATCAGAATTCTAATGCTGCTCTTTTTCGTTTGACTCAATCGCAAGTGCCGCATAAGGTATAAAAAGAAGTCAATGTGGCGTAATGTCGTGTAACGAATGGACTTTCACGCCATTCTCGAGCACCTTTTCTTCGCGTTTCCCGATGTGAAGTCACCTTAAAAAGAGTCGTCGTGTCGTGTCACGGGATGTGGCGTGCGCGTGCAAACCTTACGCAGCTTTGATACGTAAGAACCACACAAAGGTTAGCATCTGGTGCGAGACGTGGGAAAGGATACTCATAATATTTCGCCTTACAGTTTATCGCGTTTTGGTCGGACAGCCGTGCAAAAAAAAAACCGTCATACCATATGTGTTTAGCGAAGCATCGACGAAGCAAAAATTTTCAAGGCCATAACATCCGCATATCATTTTGCAAAAAATATCATTACAAGTCCATTTGATAAATCAGATGACTATAGAAAATGAGCTGTCACGGCAGCATAAAGAGATAATCAAAACGATCTCAAAAATAGCTATAAAAAAAACAGGCGCGACCAATTGTTAGTTCGTTTTCATTGTTGTGCGTTTACGGAAAGGAAATGTGCTGCACATAGATTAGTAGAACGTCTCATTAGTTATAAACTTCAGGAAGTTCGAAGTAGGTGAAAGTTTCCACAACTTATTAGATTACATGTGAAGACTACACAAGCTGCATTCCTGAACGAGTTCGTGAGATTAATGCCATAAAAGTTTCTTTCTCTAATCAAGGAACTATCAATCGGCTATTAATCTTTTAATTTTACTGATTTGTTCTATTTAGAGTTGTTAATTTTATCAATTGCGCGATTAAAATTAATTATTTTTAAAATTATACAATAGTAAACAATACATTATTATTTTACGAATTATAAAATAATAAAAGCAATTAAATGCATCGTGCTAGTTTTGAAAAAGTATCTTAATATATTTGAGATAACTGATTTGACTGTTTTATTGAAATATTTGTTTAATCAATGCAAGAAGAAAGAAAGGTGAAATGATGAAAAGAGCAGCGGTGATTCTTCTTTTACGAGGGACTGGAAATCGACCGATGGCTATCTAATTCTAGGCGCGCGTATGACCGCCTTTCTGAACTGGTAGTTTCCTAATACGGTACGAATACGAGTTGATGCGTAAAATAGAACTGCTACGGTGTACCGAGCGTCGCAGAAAGTAGCAATTCCGAACAGTAAAGTAGCAGTGCTATGCGGCGTTTCACGTAACATTCGCGGACGCAAACTTTTCACTCAAAGATTACTATCTTTCATTCTCCGCTCTGATCTTGCACTTTTAGCGCATTAATCTTGTAAATTACGGTGTGCCTCCTGTTAAGATTATCTTGGAAGTTGCAAAGTTATAAGTGATGGAGATTGTATCGTTAATCCCGAAAGTTTTCGTGTAAAAAATTAATAATGAAAGCATTGTCACATGGCTCTTTCCTACATGATTTAATTCACATGCGTTTGTCGCTTTGCTGTACTTTCACCTGTAATTATACGTTGTCCCGTGCATGCGATTAAATGCGTATTGATGAGCAAGGAAAGTGCAAACATAAAATATGCACGCGATCGCATATTTTGCAGTTTGGCGAATGTGCGAAAACGAATGTGCTCTCTCGCGCGGCCTCGAAAAATCCAATCTCAAGATGTGGACCACCCTGAAAGATTGCGACACTGAGCGGACTCTGAGAAAAACGAGCGATACGTAAACGAACATCAGGCGTGCACGTATATTTAGCCACAAAAGGATAAAGCACACGAGTATGATTTACGTGACTCGCCTATATTATGTCGCTTAAAATATATCGATCTTTGACAATTTGCCAAGTACTATAAACGGTAGTAAAGTAAAACTATTACAGTATAATGACTTTACCTCGTTAAACGTATTCGCGAAATTACGTTAAATTGCACTTTTAAAAATAACTGGGATTTTCCCGAATGACAATGAAAATGCTTGTCTTATCAGATTTTCTCGACCTCGAATAAGGAACGCCTTACTTAAAATATGTGACATGTTCTTTGTTCTTAAAGATGGAAAAACCGTACGTGTTGTAGGAATGTAGCTAATGTATGCACATAATGTATGCGCTGCAATTTTGCTAACTGTTTTCCTTTTCTTCGACTGGTATATAATTTTGGAATCAACTTGAACTTTCTCTTCACAAGAGTATGAATTTATGAATTATCCATATATCCGATAATTCGCGACGTTGTTAATTGAGATTTGCGCTTTAAGCGTGCAAGATTGAATAGCTCAAAATTAAAAGTCCTAAACGCTCTTACTTTTCCGTGAATATTAATGAAAGAAAGTTCAATGTATTTTTGTTACTAAATTACTTACACGGCTCATTATATCACATAAAACATTCTAATTGTGGTTTTGAGAAAGATATAACGAAGCGTGTAATCGTAAAAAGAAGAAAAACATTTAACGAGCTTCCAAAGATGGCGAGAAAGGTTGAAATTCGCTCAGTCGTTTCTAGCGTGTCGTAAATGTGTTTGCTCATTCGTGTTGTTTGACGATTTGCTCGCGTAAATTTTTCGCAAAATGTCTGTCTAGGGAAAACTGGAATTTTTAAATAAACAATGTATCTTGAAAATAACATTCAATCTGTTCAAGAATATTCGTTTACACTTTTGCACAAAATTCAAACTAAAAATTAATTTGGTTATATGTATTGTTATTTTATATTAGTTTCCATAAAAATTTTATATAAATAAAATAAATTGTTTAATATATTTAATACAGTTTGTTTATATGACTACACGCTGCGCGAGTTTTTTCTAAGGGACTTATTTAAAATGAAAATAGAGAGACAGAGAAACTTCTCATTGAAATTCAAAGGTTGCCAAAGCGTCATTGGCGACGTGAAAAAAATAACACGACGGTCTTTCGTTACCCACGCGCGCCCTATGCCTCTTGCAGTTGCAAAGCCTCTATGACTCAACCGGAAGTCGGCCGGGCACCCCTCTTCCTTCATGCCACTTCTTCTCCCTTCATCATAGGGCACCCAAAGCCGCATTACGCATAATGGGCGTACGCTTTCCTAATACGTTTGCGCATCCGCGAGACATCATCGACTTTTGCGACGACACGATAGTCTAAGCGCGGAAATATCGCCTTGGCACGCGCCGCGAATGCTCAAACAGCCGTAAATCGGAAAAGAAAAATCTTTAAACTATCGCGCTAATTTATCGCCGTCGATTATTTCGCCGATATAGGCGCCATAAAGGCGACCGCGTTCACGGTTGCGGACTTGGACGGATTTATCGTGGGATCCGGGTTACGAGTTACGATATGCGCCGTTTATAGAGGCATGCTCCTGAGTAAATCGTGATCGAGCTTCAAACCGCTTTGCCTCGCCGCCGCTCTATTGCGTAGCGTAAAAATGTCGGCTACTCGGAACTCGCTCTATGACACGAATGACCGAATAAGGAGTAGATACATATTTCTCGAACGTAATAAGACGATAATCCAGATACTGCGTCTTGCGAGCGCGTCTTAAAAAGGATCTTGAAAGTATTGTCCTGAAAGAGCCAGTGCGACATTAAAATAAAACGGTGGCATCAAGGATATCGTGAAAATACAGGTCACGGTGCACAGTAGTCGCGCGACATGTTGAGCTACGGGCAGGCAATCGCGAGAGAATGAAGGGCGGATGTCAAGCAATAAAAAAAATTGGAGGGAGTCCTTCCTTTCGCCGGGAACGTCGTCGGCTGTAAACCCGTCGGGAAATTTATGCACAACCCGAGCGGAGGTTGGACCGTATATCTTTATTCGAGCCAGCGAGTACAACATATCTTATTTACTCGGGACCCGATGATCAATAATCGTGCCGATCAGTGCCATGTACCTGTCATCGCAAGCAAACGTCGTTCTCGGGAAATCGCGGTATTTCAGCAAAAATTAAGATTGCCAAACTTATAAAAAAAAGACGCATTTTGACGATTGACATAATCTGAATAAACTCTTTCAAAATGAATACACGTTTGTGAACGTGTTCGAAGCGTAAATCGGCGGAAAGATTAACGCTCGAAACACAGGAAACTCTTTTTATTCACTGTACAATACTCGATGTCAAGGAAAACTGTTTCGCAGCAAACACATTTCGAACTACCGATAGCAGCTATTGTACGCGAAGCTTACTATCCGGCAACACAAAATAAACGAGAAAATCCGCGCGATATATATCGCTGCGCCCGAGATACCGTCAAAGACTATAGCTGCCGCATTCAAATATCGGAATGGAGCCTGATAACGAGATAGCGGGCGCATCATTTCCGCGATTCCATATGTGGATTCGTGGGTTGCGCGAGATCTCACGGATATCGGCCTCGGCGGATCCGTCCGGGCCGACGCCTCGGACGATGGTACTCTAAAGTCGTGTCAGACCAGGAACGACATAATGCCACGGACATGTATCTGGCTCGGTGACGGGGAACATGGTCGCTTTAGTTCCGGGTGACCGAGTTCCTGCACGGCGGGAACTCTCTTCGCGCGTCCGCGCACGTGCTCAAGTGCCTGAGTCTAGCAAACCGGCTATTTTTAGATAATAATAAAAGTCATTCCCGGTCGAGCAGAACTTATAACTGCAAATCTACGGTTTATAAAATATAAATTAAACCCCCTTCTGTAATCAGTAGAGAAGACATCAATGACTCTAAATTCAATCCTTGTGATTTCAAAATTTAAAATCTTAGAAATTAAAAAAAAAGCGATAAAATAAATTCTATTAATTTTTTTAACGTGTCTATTTCTGCGGAAACGTGAGGTTGACTGTACCTCTATAAAGTGTTTGCGGTTTCAATACATGTGGCCGGTAATACGAGGCACCGGTGATGGACTTTGCGCCGCGCGCACGGACCCCGTCGTTAAAACACTGTTTTTTTCGTCGTGCTCCCGGTGCCAACCCTATTGTTGTTACCAGGTCGAGTCACGAGCCCGGGTTCTCATTACCATCCGTATCTGCGATACTATCGCTGCGCCAAGGCCCAACCTAGTTCCTATTTCCCATCGTGTCCGTTCTATATCTATATAGATGTCTACGGGATCATGTCGCGACCCTGCGAGTTTTCCTTAGATACATTCGTTGATAAACTGCTCTATCCTGAGAGAGAAAACGATGTGTATTGGAGATATTGATACTCGAATTAATTCAAACGTTTTTAAATGGAACAAAATAGATTTCTATTCCTTTCATTGATTTTTTAGATTAAATTGTTATGTTAAAATTAAATTAAATTAAAATTTAATATTGATTTCTTATATCAAAAGTATTATTATATAACAAGCATATTTAAACGCTCTTAATATTGCAGTTATATCCGTCTTTGATGTTGCTTAGCTAATGGCGTTTTTCCGGTTTAAATACAGCCGGCATGTTTCACTTTGATAACTTTGATAATTAATTGCAAATGTTTTTGTAGCACATTCATGTGTGTTTTATATTTCGCGCCATAAATCCGTGATCTAGCGGCTAATAAAAATAGATCATGCAGAAGCACGTAGCGCACAAAGTGAAGAAGTGAAAATCGCGCGGAGGAGTTTCTTAAAAGGAAAAAAAAAATCTGCTTATTTGAATCCTACCTACATAGCCGGTGAAATTCACAACTACTCTGGTATCCACCAATATCTCCGGCACGGTAGATAAAATCAGACAACGATCATAAAACACTATTGCATTCGTTCGCATCCTAAGAGAGATAACGGATCGAAACAGGAGGCGGTAATAGATAACGGCCGATGGTGAGCGCGAAGCGGCGCGCAGATGCGCTCACTCTATCATCTACCGTGTGGTTGCATTCGCGCATGAGTTGCTGAGAGATAATGAATGCGGAGAAGAAACGGCAATAGATAATACAGACGGTAATAGATAGTAGCTAATGATGAGCATAGACTCGGATTAAAGTGCATGATTAACGAACGTGTTAAAGTTGCAAGGAGAATGGCATCAGAAGTGCCTTCGCGGAGAAAATTAAACAATTCGTCAAGACAAATAGAGGCTCTTGTTAGAATCTGTACTGGGAAGATGTATGACGGGTGCGAGATAAAGAGACGGCGATAGGGATATAATTAATAACGGCTAATAACGAACAGAACGCTCCAAGTAACCCGCGCGATCGACGTACACGCGAAAGATAGAAGAGAATGGAAACGGAAGTTTCCATTTACAGTAGAGATTCGATAATTTGTTAGAGCAGGAATCAGAATCTGTGCTGGGAACCGAAAAGATCAGGCTGGCTCATCTCCAGGGAAAGTCAACCTTCATTAATATTTATCAGGAGCTCCAGTAGGGTCGCCCG